GCCCCTTGCCAGGTGACGCCGTTGGACATGAATCTGGCTACAACGACGGTTCCCCGGGGCGCTGTGCAACCGCATGTAAACGTCGTTCATTTCTAATCGTGCTCATTTCTAATTGTGCTCCTTTCTAATTGTTCCTGGCCCCCTAGTGGCCAGGAGGAGGCCCAGGATGGAACAATTAGAAATGCAAGGATCTTGACCCCCAAAAAAATCAAAGAACTTTCGAAGAAGTAGAAATGAGCAATGTGTATTCCTTGCAGGCCGGCAAGAGCTCCTCGCATCTCCGACCCGTCTGCTAGGCGCGCCGCTTCGTCTCTCGTCGTTCGGTTCTCGGGATCCGCTGCCGACCACCGATCAAGATCGGTCAACATCGCATCAGAACATTGGATCGAAGCGGAATGTGCGTCGGATCGGGCTGCATCGGCACGGAGACGAGATCGAATAGGGTCGGCCACGCCACGATGCACAACAGCGCCACGCTAGCGTCGGGCCGCAGTCAAATCGTGATCGATCTCGGCCGATGCTGACATCGAATCGGATGCAGCAGACCGAAGCGACCAATGTCCAGGAGCCAATCCCACCTCAGAGGACAACGATAACGACGAGACAGTGGACGAGTCAGATGAGAAAGGCGATGATGATGATGATGATGATACTGATGCTGATGCTGATGCTGATGCTGATGAAGATGAAGATGAAGATGATTGATGATGATGATGATGATGATGATGATGATGATGATGATGATGATGCTGATGATGATGCTGATGATGATTATGATGATTATGATGATGATGATGATGATGATGATGATGATGATGATGATGATGGCGATGATGGCGATGATGGTGATGGTGATGGCGATGATGATGATGATGATAAAATGATGATGAGATGATGATGATGATGATGATGATGATGATGATGATGATGATGATGATGATGATGATGATGATGATGATGATAATGATGATGAGGATGAGGATGAGGATGAGGATGAGGATGATGATGATGATGATGATGATGATGCTACTGGTGCTGACGATGATGATGATCCTGACGCTGCTGCTGATTATGATGACGATGATGATGCTGCTGATGATGACGATGATGCTGATGACGACGAGGATGATGAGGATGATGATGATGATGCTGCTGCTGCTGATGATGAGGACGACGACGAGGAGGAGGAGGAGAAGGAGGAGGAGGAGGACAAGTAGGACAAGGAGTATGAGGAGGAGGAGGAGGAGGAGGAGGAGGAGGAGGAGGAGTGGGAGGAGGAGGAGGAGGAGGAGGAGGAGGAGAAGGAGGAGCATGGACAGGAGGGCGATGGGGCAGGGAGGACAAGGAGAAGGAGGAGGAGGAGGAGAAGGAGCAGGAGGAGGAGGAGGAGGAGAAAGAGAAGGAGGATGAGGAGGATCAGGAGGAGGACCGGTGTAAACCCAAGAGTCACCAACGATGTTGGAATGAACCCTCCCTCCAAGCTCCCTCTTCCTAGGCCCCTACAACGGTTCATTCCCATTGAGGGAACTGCCTCGTTGGAAGACAACCGCTTGAAGATCCTGAAGCGCGCCCAAACATTGCTCTCGGGACTTCAACGCCACGTATCAACCTGGCTGCTGCGTCCTGACGATCCAGAATCGTGCCAGAGCGCCATGTTTGTGACTCCAACACCGCGAATCCAAAAAACTGTTGCGCCCACATAATCCTGAATCCTTCTAAAGCACAGTTTTTGGTACGTCGATCATTGGAATCCTTGAAACTCTTGCTATTGTTTTTTACAAAAAGAACGAATGTGCGCGGCGCTCAAGCGAGAGCCACATTTTGAAAACCACCCGCCCTCAATCCGTGAAGCTCTTGCAAGTTTTGAAAACACATATGCGCGACGCTAAAGCAAGACCCACCTTTTGAAAACCACCCGCCCTCAATCCGTGAAACTCTTGCAAAGTTTGAAAAGAAAGTTGGCGGCGCTAAAGCGAGAGCCACATTTTGAAAACGACCCGCCCTCAGTCTGTGAAGCCCTGCAGAATTTTGAAAAGAAAACGGGCGGCGCTAAGGCGAGAGCCACATTTTGAAAGCGACCCGCCCTCCATCTGCGAAACTGTTGCCACTTTTGAAGCTTTAGAGTCATAAGTGGTGAGGAAGTCTCCAGCGAAACGCCCTGCCCGCCCTCAAAACTGGCCTCGGGGTCCAACAGGGAGAAGTTATCTATAAGGAGAAAGAATGGAAGGGGAGGAGGAGGAGGGGACGAGGAGGAGGGAGGCGGAGGAGAAGGAGGAAGAAGAGGAGGAGGAGGGGGAGGAGGAGAAAGAGGAGGAGAAGGAGGAGGAAGAAGAGGAGGGGTAGGAGGAGGGGGAGCAGGGAGGAGCAGGGAGGGAAGAGGAGGAGGAGGAGGAGAAGGAGAAGGAGGATTATGAGGAGCAGGAGCAGGAGGAGGCGGAGGAGGAGCTCTGACTGTGCTCACACCCCAAGAAACTGCCTGCAGCGGGGCTCCCCCCTCGGAGAGCCGCCCGCGCAGGCGCCGCGCTGGGGGCGAGATCCTCTTCCTTCCTTTCTTCCGTACTTTCTCCTATTCCTCTTCTTTCCTTCCTTCCTTCCTTCCTTCCTTCCTTCCTTCCTTCCTTCCTTCCGTCCTTCCTCTCCCCCCTCCTCTTGCTGCTTCTCCTGCTCCTGCTCCTGCTCCTGCTCCTCCTCCTACTTCTCTTCCTCTTCTTCCTCCTCCTCCTCCTCCTCTCCTCCTCCTCCTCTCACCACCACCACCACACCACCACCACCACCACCAATCATCATCATCATCTCATCATCATCTCATCATCATCATCATCATCACCATCATCATCATCATCATCTCATCCTCATCCTCATCCTCATCCTCATCCTCATCCTCATCCTCATCATCATCATCATCATCATCATCATCATCATCACATCATCATCATCATCATCATCATCGTCATCGTCATCGTCATCATCCTAAGCATCATCATCATCATCCTCATCAGCAGCAGCAGCATCATCATCATCATCATCATCATCATCATCATCATAATCAGCAGCCTCATCCTCATCCTCATCACCATCAGCATCATCATCATCAGCATCATCATCCGACTCCTCCTTCCCCCCTCCCTCCTCCTCCGTCCTCCTCCTCCTCCTCCTTCTCCTCCTCCTCCTCAGCATCATCACCATCATCACCAACATCACCATCACGATCATGATCAGCATCAGCATCTTCATCATCATCGTCAGCATCATCGTCGTCACCATCAGCAGCGTTATCATCACCGTCATCATCAGCCTCATTACCATCATCATCGTTATAATCAGCGTCCTCATCCTCATCCTCATCCTCATCATCATCATCATCATCATCATCATCATCATCATCATCACCATCATCATCATCATCATCATCATCATCATCATCATCGGCAGCAGCATCATATTCATCCGACCCCTCCTCCCCCCTCCTCCACCTCCCTCTCCTCCTCATCATCGTCATCATCACCATCACCATCACCATCACCATCATCATCAGAATCAGCATCAGCATCATCAGCATCATCATCGTCATCATCATCAGTATCATCATTCTTATAATCATCAAAATCATCATCATCAGCATCATCATCACAATCATCATCCTCAACCTCATCCTCCTCCTCATCCTCATCATCAGCATCATCATCAGCATCGTCATCATCATCAGCATCAGCATCAGCATCAGCATCACCATCACCATCACAATCAGCATCATCATCATCATCACCATCATCATCAGCATCAGCATCTTCATCATCATCATCAGCATCATCATCAGCATCATAGTCGTCATCATCAGCAGCGTCATCATCACCATCATCATCAGCATCATTACCATCATCATCGTCATAATCAGCGTCCTCATCCTCATCCTCATCGTCATCAGCAGCATCATATTCATCCGACTCCTCCTCCCCCCCTCCTCCACCTCCCTCCTCCTCCTCCTCATCATTGTCATCATCACCATCACCATCACCATCAGCATCAGCATCAGCATCATCATCATCATCGTCATCATCATCAGTATCATCATTCTCATCATCATCATCATCATCATCATCATCATCATCATCATCAGCATCGTCAGCAGCATCATCATCACAATCATCATCCTCATCCTCATCCTCCACCTCATCCTCAGCATCATCATCAGCATCAGCATCGTCATCATCATCAGCATCAGCATCAGCATCAGCATCAGCATCATCGTCACCATCACCATCACAATCACCATCATCACATCATCATCATCATCATCATCATCAGCAGCATCATCATCATCATCCGACTCATCCTTCCCCCCTTCTCCTCCTCCTCCCTCCTCCTCCTCCTCCTCATCATCATCATCATCATCAGCATCGTCATCATCATCATCATCATCATCATCATCATCATCATCATCATCATCATCATCATCATCATCATCATCATCATCATCATCATCATCGCCATCACCATCACCATCATCATCATCATCATCATCATCATCATCATCATCATCGTCATCATCATCGTCATCATCTTCCTTCTCCCCCTCCCCCTCCTCCTCCTCCTCCTCATCCTCCTCCTCCTCCTCCTCCTCCTCTTCCTCGTCGGGCGCGCCGCGGGCGCGGAGAAAGAAGGCCACCCTCGCCCTCGGAGGCTCGGCCACCCGCAAGCGTATAGCGACCCTGGGCAGGAGTGACCCGCGGCCTGCCGAGCGCTGTGTCGCATCGCGTTCGGCGATCGGAGGGCCCCTATGGGCTCGTACCAAAGGTCACTTACGTTTAGCCGATATTGCTAAGAAAAAACTGCGAATTGGGCTGCGAGGTCATGCCGGGGAGGCGGCCCCAAAAACAAGCCTGTTACGACTGAGCCTTCAGCGCTGTCTCTTCGCACGCGTTCGGAAGCACCGCTGTGCTTCCGAATTCCATTTCTACCTCAGACAAGGATGGTCTGCGCAGTCGGACTGGAGTTCAAACCTTTCTTCCGCCGCAGAGAATCGATGTAGATCCACTCCATCGCACGAGCAGGCGAAAGAAGCTTGCAGTAGTGGAAGCAGCCTGGATCGGGAATCGCAGATGGCCGAGGGATTGGGCCAAAGTGCTTTTCCCAGTAATCGATCTCGGTCTTTTGCATGGGCGACGCTACCTCGATGACGCTCTCGCCGCTGGAGTCCGTCTTCTCATTGAACTGCAGGCGCGCGTAGAGGAAGGAGGGGCCACCAGCCTTAGAGATGTCGTCGCCGAAAACGTACTTCTGACCGTGCTTGTGGAAGCGATCCAGCGAGGCGGTCGCCGCGGCCGCTTGCGCCCACTCGTAGGCCTTCTTGTTGGTCATCGCGCAGAACTGCGGGTCGTCGACACTGAACGACGCGTTAACATCGCCGACGCCCTGGATGAGCGTGCACTGGCGCGAGGCGAGCTTCGTGCCGATCTCCTTACAGGGTTCCCAGGGGGACACAAACAACTCTGCAGAAGTTCCAGGAGTTTCCATCGTTTCAATTTTTGTTTCAATTTTTCCTAGACTTTGCTCCGTCCCTCCATCTGAAGCGCTGTCGCACATTCCACGGAAATCAGCGGTTGAATTCTGTCTGTGCGCACTTTTTCCTCCCGACTCCTCGGCGCTGGTAGCCACGAAGCCGGTGTCGAACTGGTCGAAGACCTCCTTCCAGTCGAACCAGGACGGCTGGGTGTCGTCCCAGTGGCCCTGCGAGTACGTGGTGATGCTCGGCGGCGCGCCGAGGGAGGCAGCGAGACGGGGGCAAGGCCGTCACAGAAGTCGGCGGGGCTCCTCGGAAGCCCTGCGGCCTCATGAGGAGCCCGTCTCTGTGCCTTGGAAGATGGCCGGGGAAGCTTCTCGGAAGGCCCAGGGCCTTCTGGAGGAGGAGGAGGAGGAGGAAGAGGACCAGGAGGAGGAGAAGGATTCTGCCAGCCCCCTCTCCCTGCCCCTCACCCGGGCGCACCGCCGGGATGTGCAGCGCCTTCTGCGCCGCGTCGCCGGTGATGGCGGGAAGGTGGAACTCCTCACCGGTGAGGGGCGTGGAGCTGCAGTCGACGTACTGGTTGTCGACGGTCAACGTCCAGCCGTCAACGTCGGAGATCACCCTCTGAGCCTCAGGCGCCCACGCAGACTTGCTCGGGCAGCCCCCCTTCACGCAGTGCTTCTCGCCCGGGCCGCCCACCTGGTCCATGGCGTTGAACCATCGATTGCCCTCGAGCTCGTAGGCTCTGATCATTGGCGTGACGAACTCCATTGTGTAGTCCAGGTGCGAGGGTCGAAGAACGAACAACGGCATCAACATAAACTCTAGGTGCTCCGCGCGGGTCTCTTGGGTCTGCGCTGAACCACCCTGGCGGCGCCTCCGGCGCCGCACCTGGGGCGCTCCGTGCGCCAGCGAAGGGCGTCCGGCGCAGACCCAGGAAATCTGCGCGGAACTCCGAAAGCTTATGCTTACTGGCGGCGCGCAGAGGGGGGAAGGGGGAGTGGGGAAGGCTTCTTAGAAGGAGGCTGCTTCCTAGAAGAAGGCGCGGGCCTTACATCTACAGACAGGGCCCGCACCTTCTTAGAAGCAGGGGAGCTTCTAAGAAGCCTTCCCCCTGCACCCCTCTGCGCGTGGCCGATTTCCATCTTCGAGAGGAGAGACTGCCTGCCTCGACGAGCCCAGCCCTCTTCTCGAAGTAGGGCGCGACGAGACTGGCCACTGCGGCGTACGCCTGTCCGTACGTGATCTCTGGCTGCAGATCGCGGAGCTTTACCAGCAAGGGAGGCTCTCCAGACGAAAACTGCATGTGCGTCATCCCCTTGACCACCGCAACTGGGAAGTCGTTGAGCCTGTCCTGGGAATGGTAGTAGGCCTCTGCAATTCTGGTGGGCCTGGCCAGGCCATCGAGTTCTCCCCCAATGGTCAGCGTCGACACGGGGTAAGTCCAATTTGGGTATACGTACTTTCTCTGAATGAAGCCGCCCATGAGCACCTGTCCAAGCACCTCGATCTTTCCGCTCATTGGGCCTGTATCGCCATGGTATTTATGCAGGTGGTCCTGAATGAACACGCTGCCCAAGGAGTGGCCGCCATAAAAGAGCTTTACCTTGTCAAGGTCCAGGCCTTGGTCCTTCATCTCGCTCAGCACGTAGTCAATACGAGGCCCGACTTCTGGAGGGATTGGGGATGGTGTCAGATATGTGCCAAGCACTGCCACCCAGAGAGGCATGGACACCTTCTGCTGAACTGCCTCGGCCAGCGGCCGATACGTCGCCATATCGATCTGGGCGCCCGGCAGCACGATCCACGCCGCTGGCTCGCCTAGAAAAAAAGTCTGCATAAACATAAACTTTTGCAGCTCCGCGCGGATGTCTTGGCTCGGCGCTGTGGACCCCCCTCCCTGCAGCGCGGAGGGTGCCAGGGGCGGCGCCGGAGACGTCGCCAGGGGGTCCAACACAGATCCACGCGGTCCGCGCGGACCTCCTAAGGTCTAATGCTCATGCAACTTGGGCGACGATCACAAATGGGTCTTGCGCGAGATGACACAGCGACCTTACGAATGGCTTACGCGGGCCGCCAGCGCGGAACGCCACTTTGCAGACGAGGGCGCTCACGCGCGGCCTTACGCTGGCAGCTTACGCGCCAATGTCGGCGCAGACGACCCCGTTTTCTTGCGTCGCCCATTTGATCTTCCTCGATCGCCAGTCTTGCCGGCAGGAGGCTTCAGAATTACCGCGTGGTCCTGCGAGGCAGCGCCAGGGGGGTACGGGCTCAGGCGGGGGAGCACCTCCCTGGAATCGGCGATACATCGCCGATAGATCGGCGGTAGGCCCCCGACAGCGATGAAGGGGCGATTGGGGGTCGATGCGTTCCGCACTGAGCCCTGCCCCTGGGTCCGCAAACGCATGCAGCGGCGGCCGCGCCGGCGGCGCGGGCGTCGGCGGCGCGGGACACCCCTCGTGGCTCACCAGCTTCACCTGGCGGATTCCGGAAACCCTGAACCCAAACATGTTGGCATCTCTCGGGGGTGCATCCTTTACTTCTGCCGCCTTGCGCCGGCGGAGGCGGCCTCGTTTGCCTTCCGCCGCCTACCGCCGCGGAAGAGCTGACGACTCCTTCGACCCTCGCAGGCGAGGCCCTTTTTGGCACGCTCCTCCTCCTCCTCCTCCTCCTCCTCCTCCTCCTCCTCCTCCTCCTCCAACTCCTCCCCCTCCTCCTACTGCCTCCTCCTCATCCTCCTCCTCCGCCTCCTCCTCTCCTCCTCCTCCCTCCCTCTCAATCCTCTTCCTCCTCAGCATTTCATCCCCCTGACTCCTATTCATAATCCTTATTACCTTATAGAATATACTTCCTACTCCCCACTTCAGGCGGACATTAGGCCGCATCCGGTGTCCCATCCTAACCTGTAAAAAACAATACAAAATCAACATGTTTCTTATTTTTTCCTCTCGCCATGGACGTCCTGTCGTCCACGGCGATTATCCATTGCAAAAAATACAACAAAGAGCACACGCGCGCGTTCATGTCAGAATCCTACCGAACACCGTGTGTTTGCAAGCATTTCAACATAAAAACATCAAAAACCCAATGTTTTTTTCACAAAAATTGTACAAATTTCCCGCCCGGGCTCTCTTGCTGAAATCATAGGAAAACCATAGGAATCTTAAGAATTCGGTCAAATCCAGCGATTTCGCGTCATCGCGCGGTGCACTCGCGATGCTCTGTCATGCACCCAGGCCGCGAATCCTTTGTAAAAATACAACAAAGAGCACACTCGCGCGGTCATGTCAGAATCCTACCGAACACCGTGTGTTTGCAAGCATTTCAACATAAAAACATCAAAAACCAAATGCTTTTTCACAAAAATGCTTTGGGGTGTCCTGTCAGACCGTCGGGCTTCCTCCGGCCACCTCTGGCTTCCTGCGGTGTACGGGCCATTCTCGACTCGTCTGGCAATGCGTGCGCGGCATTCAACACGCCGGGGGGCTTCCGGGGGGGCCCCCGCAGTTTCCCGGCGGAACCGCATCGCACGGCCTGCGCGCCCGCATCAGCTGTACCAAACCGGCTGGCCAGTGTGACTTCGGCCCCCAGTTGTGCCAGCTTTGCTTCTTATGTTGTGGGAGGGCGGGTGGGACTGGGCATGCCATGCTTGACTCGCTCGAGCTGGCTAGCTTGACTCCTACTCCTACTCCTACTCTACTCCTACTCCTACTCCTACTCCTACTCCTACTCCTACTCCTACTCCTATCCTACTTATTCTCCTCCTCCTCCTCCTGCCTCCCCTCCTCCTCATCCTCCTACTCACCACTCCCTCCTCACTCCTCCTCGCTTTATCCTCCCCCCTCCTCCTCCTCCTCCTCCTCCTCTCATCCTCCTCCTCCTCTCCTCCCCCTCCTCCTCCCCCTCCTCCTCCTCCTCCTGCTCCTCCTCCCCCTCCTCCAGGCAGCTCCACCTGGTCCGCGACCGCTGCCGGCACGCCCTGGCGACGCGCCAGGGCCAGCAGCTGCTCCACCAGCGGGTCCGCGCCGCCGGCGCCCCCTGGCGTGCGGGCCCCGATGGCCAGCTCGTGCAGCCCCCACTCGGGGCCCAGGGAGAGGCACGAGTAGGCCACGACGTTCGGGGGACGCCCAGCAGGCCACCTGTCACTGCACCGCCGACCTTGCAGACGTGCTGCAGCGACTTTGTGCGCGGATGTCTGCCAGGATGCAGAACCCCGAGACGGCCAGCGAGAAACTAAGTGCATTCCACGTGGATATTCTGCAGTCTTCCCTCCCAACCAAAAACGCACGAAATTCACTTCGAAATCCGGAGCGAAACTCTCCAGGACAATCCGGGCCCATCCCAGTGTCTTCCGAGCGAAATCCGCCCTGCGATGTTGGCGCCGTGCCACCCGCGCCGGCCCCCGCAGAGGGCGTGCATGTCATAGAGCGCACGCCGCCGTGTTTGGCCAGGCCCGAAAATCCGCACCTCCCACGGTATGATTCTTGCCGGTTCCGCTGGGCGCGAATCCATTCCTCCTCCTCCTCCTCCTCCTCCGCCTCCTCTCATACTCCTCCTTCCTCCCCTCGTTCATCCGCACTACTTTCCTCCTGCTCCTCCTCCGGGCGAGAAAATGGGGGGGGGGGGGGAGAAAGGTGCCTTTTCGGGCCCGAACGGCCCCCTTCTAGGCCCTAAAGACCTCTTCAGGGGCCCCTGAAGGGCCCCTTGTCGGCAGCCGAAGGCTGCCCCCCTCATGTATCGCCCCCCCATTGCGCGTCCTCCGATCCAGGCGCTTTTCCTCGATTCTGGCGCCTGGGGCCTGCTAGCTAGTGATCTGGCCCTAGGACCACTCAAAGTGCAACTGGGGCGAAAACCTGGCCCTGGGGAAAGGGCCGGGACCTCTGGGGCCGCACATCGATAAAAAATCACTCCCAGCACACTCTTGTGAAACCGATTGCGCAGGAAAAACAACGACAACATACCCTTGGAAATAACAACGACATCTCGGTTATACCGGTAATTCCCCGCTGGCGAAATTTTGACAATGGCCAAAACTGGATTGACTGACCGCACGGTCTATTTCGACCAAAAGCTCAAAACAATAAACACACCGAACAATTCATATCGCCAAAACGTAAACAAAGAAACGGATATACTCTGAAGCCAGAAACATACCTTTGCGATGCAGGGGCAGTTTGTTCAAAAGCAATCACAAACGTGGTCTGGAAACTAACATTTCGCGTTCAGATCCACTCTGCTTTAGTTTCACCGCGCGCGAACATAGTGGTTTGAAGCACGCTCCTTTCGCGCAACCGCCGCCGTCGTGCAACCGCGGCGCAAAATTCGAAAGCGCTGGGCTGCCCTGAAGGGTTGAACGGCGCCCGCCAACAAAAATCGACAACGGAATCTTGGATCCGACGGTCACCCCAGTCCAGCAGCGACTGCCAGGACTGATGGAGAAAGCCGCCCAAGGGCCGACGCCCACACTCTCAGGGCAGGCGGCCCGCGGAGCTGCCCCCCGCGAAGTGGGAGGCCGCGTCCGCGGCCAGGAAGACCGTGGGCAGCTGCACCTCGGGCGCGGATTCGCGGGGGGAGGGGGGGGCCATTACAGTAGGAGCTCGACCACAAGAACCCTTCCACAAGGAGCCTGGCCCTGAGACCCCAGGACGCCCGCTGACTTTTGTGGTGGGACCGTGACGCTTTCCATGACAGAACCATCGAAACCCACGAGACCCAGGGCACCCTGGAGGCAAGCCGGGTGCTTCTTGGCATGGGTCTCCACAGCATGAGAGGGGGGGGCGGAAGAAAGGGGCCCTCTTCGAGCCCTCAAGGCCCCCCGTTGGGCCCTCTAAAGTGCCCCTTTTTCTGCAGCGCCTTCGCTGCCCCCCCCCCCCCCCCCCCCACACACCACACACACACAACACACACACACCACACACACACACACACACACACACACACACACACACACACACACACACACACACACACACACACACACACACACACACACACACACACACACACACACACACACACACACACACACACACACACACACACTTATCGCACCCCCATTCTGCGAGGCGGGGATCTATCCATATCCAGCGCCTGGGAACCGACGCCTTCGTGCCCAAGCGGGCGGCGGATATGGATATGGATATGGATATGGATATGGATATGATAGGCCCCTGGGGGCCCGAATCTATCCACATCCGCCGCCTGTCGAGGTCCCCGAAAATTGATCCTCCAGGCGGTGGTGACGTATAGATTCCCGCCTCGGACACTACGCTGAAGTCGGGCGTGTCCCCCATGTAGGCGGATTCTGGGGCGAAAAATTCAAAATACTCAAAACATACCCCAAATAGTCAAAAAAAACATCAAAGAATAGTCCTCATACTATCTTTTAACTATCGTTTAATTTTCCTCCTGTAGAGGGACCAGCCCGACTGAACACTGCGCGCGGCCCAGGCACCAGCGGGCCCGCCACGGGCACCTCCACGTGCTTGCGGAAGAGCCCGCGCCGCCCCTCCGGCTCCGCGGCGTAGTCCTCGCGGATGGTGAACGGCCTCCCGGAGGGTTCCAAAGGTCGACGAGCGCGTTCCACTACTCGCAAAGTAACTACTCGCAAATGGCCTGGATCCCCCTCGGGGGATCTACAATAAATTGCATCAAAGCAGACAAGTGTTTTTCGGAGGTTTGCGAGTAGGCACTCTGCGAGTAGTGGAGCGCGCTCGGCGAAAAGGAGGTTTTGGGGGGGAGGGGGTTTTCCAGCGAGCACCCCAGGGGCCTCAGAACCTCGCCAAAACAGGGGGCGCGGAGCCCCTGGGAGACCCCTCCTGGACAAAAAAACAAACAAAAAAAACTCCCCCCAAAAAAACCCTTTTGGGACCCTCCGGGCCTCGACCCCGTGGCGTTGCCGGGCCCGCCGTAGCGCACCTTCGGAGCAGGGTGAGGTCGGGCGTGTCCTCCTACAGGCGGACTTTGGACGAGCGATAAAGAATCGGCGGTGGACAAACATCCCTTTAGTAAACCTCCCCTTAGTGAAAACGGCCTGGGACCGAATTCGACGGACCTGGACCCGCAAAAATGACGGCCGCGACGCCCTCTCGCGAACCGAAAACGGCCAATTCCTTAATCGACGTGTCAGGGTAGGAGGTCTATCCACCTCCGAAAGAATACTCCAAAAATACACCAGAAGAGTCGAAGATGCTCGGGAAATCGTCCTCAGACGATGTCTTGACTGTGTTTGAGTCTTCCTCCTGCAGGGGGACGTGCCCGACTTGAGAGCAGGGCGAGCTGAGCAGGGCGAGCAGCTCGAGATCGGGCACTGGGCCCCTCCTGGGGCGCCAGCGCCCCCAGTTCTACGAGCCCCGTCCAGCCGTGGCGGCGAGGCCCCCCCGAAGGCAGATGGCGAGCTGTCTCGGCAGCCCACGCCACCGTGGCGGACCTGGAAGTCGATCGCGAGCTGCCCATCGCGCACCATACCTGGACGGACAAACGACTGCGCAGGGCACAGTGAGCGCTTTTTTGTTCGGCGTTTCGACGTTGGGCCGAAAGGGGGGAGGGGGGGTCTGGCTCCGGACCTCTGCTTAGTGCGACTGTTTGCAGCAAGGCGTGCGTCATGGGGGAGACTCCACCTGCTCGAAACAGGCGCCAAAAACAGCCAAGATCTACTCCATGGGGGGAGGGAGGAGGGGGGTGTGAGGGCCCGCACCGATCGGCAAAACAATGAAAAACAAGTATCACATACGCGTGCATTCTCGCAGCTCCGCGCGGATTTCTCGAACCGGCGCTGGACCCCCCCTCCTTCGCGCGCGCAGCGCGCTCGGGGCGGCGCCGGAGGCACCGCCAAGGAAGCACCCAGCGCCGATCCAGGAAGTCTGCGCGCAGCTCCGAAAACTCATGCCTGTGCCAGCGTTTGTTCCTCGAGTGCCGTACATCGTCGGGCAGTACGAGCCCACCTGTGGAAGCCAAAAGGTATCCACACACACACACACACCGCCGCGCCCCGGACCTCTCCCGGGGCTGCCTCCTGACCAGAACCTCGGGGCGAGTCCAGCCGTGGCGGCGAGAGCCTCCTCGGAGGCCCCCAAAACCCTCAAATCCGACGTCTCCGAAACAATTGAAACATGGTGAGAAACCACGACCACCCTATAGACTTAGGTCGGGCATGTCCCCCTACAGGGGGACTGTGGACGAAAAATTCAAACAAACAAACAAACAAACAAGAAATATCCCAAAATGGCAAAAAAAGAATGCAAGCCATCGTCCCCAGACTAGTTGTTGTGACTATGTTTGAATATTCCCCCTGTGGAGGGACAGGCCCGACTTGACCATAGACCCAAGCTTCCTACCTCATCTTTCGAGCCGGATCCATCCGTGCGGGCCCCGGGGGGCCCGACGCGGGGCGAAAAGACGCCCGGCTAGGGAGAAATGGAATCGCGAGGATCTCAGGGAAGGCGAGCACGGAAAGAGGCCAGCGTTAGGCATGTACCCTTACGGGCGGATTTCGCAGGACAAATAAAACATAGTTTTAACATACTTGAAACTAGTAACAACAATATGTGAAACATCGTCCCCAGACTATGTTTTGACCATTCTTGAAGATTCCTCCTGTAGAGGGACGTGCCCGACTTAAGGCCAGCGGCATCGTGTGCCTGCGCCGGGTCGTTGTAGCCGCGCTCGAACCAGGCGCCCTCCAGGGCGCCCGCCTCGAAGCCAGCGGCGACCGCCGCAGGCCGCAGCGCGGCCAGGTCCGCGGGGCACGCGGGCCCGAACACGCCGCGCAGCCCAGCGAGGTCGACGTTGAGACGAAACCAGGGCGAGGACGAAGTCGGGGGATACAAAACATCGAGAATCTCTCTGAGAGACCCGGCGGCTCCAGAGGACGCACCTCGGGCGTCGCGGCCTTCTCTCGGAGCGTCTTCCGGAAGGCTCTCCGAGAGCGTCGGAAAACGCTCTGGAAGAACGGATCTCCTCCTTCTCCCCCTCCTCCTCCTCCTCCTCCTCCTCCTCCTCCTCCACCTCCTCCTCCTCCTCCTCCTTTCCTCCTCCTCCTCATCCTCTCCTCCTCCTCCCCCTCTCTCCTCCTCTCCT